CAGATCTGCACAGCCCTGTACAGGCATTTCTCCTGCCTTGACAACGGCCAAACCGCAAGCAGAGGTGGTGGCCACTCCGTGCGAGCAGCATTGCCATCTACTGGGTGCATTTTAGCCCAGCCCGGGGGTTCCCCAGCCCCCTCATCCAAGCAAAGCTTTCCAAACTCCTCCTGGGCAAGCTGGCCTTCTCCGAGACACAGGGCACCTACGTGCTGCGGCTGAAAGGGAGACAGAAGTACAGCGAACAAGAGCAGCCAACATGCTGAAGCCATGGCCCATTGCGTAGGGAGAAACACCCGAGGTTGCCACGGCCTAACAAAAGCGTTTCTTTAGCAGACTTGAGCTGATGTATCTCAGCAGGGGAATATTCAGCACGGTTATTTGAGCAAGCTCCACAGGCAGCTGAGGGCTGTGAGAAGGTATTATATATCTGTATGCAAGCCCTGCACTTTCTGCCTCCAGACCCATTCACCTCTATTTTCCACCTATTCAATTCTCCTCATCACTCCAATACTTCCATGGCAACGTGCATGAAAAGCTATGATCCATTCAGGATGCAGCTGAAATTATAAAAATTGAGCTACCGACCTCTGGCACAAAATTAAAGTGTTTCTCTCACTCTGGGCATTTATAATGACAGCTGAGCATTCAGCACCTTTAGCTGCATCCAGTTTCAGCCAACTTCTCTCTGAGACACTTCTCCCAACACACACAATATTTTTCTATTTGGAGTAATTGGCACTGAAAGGTTAAAAATCAGAATAAAAATCCATAAAACCTAAGGGCCAGATGGAATTTCTCTCTTCAGAAATGTTCTACAAGCATTTATCATATAAAATTCACTGTTGGTGAATCTGATTTCCACAGTTGGTTGTAACATTGGCCCATCTGAGAAAAATAATAGCCAAGACAGCATTGCGGCAACTCACGTGTATCGGTGGCACAGAGATTCAATGCAGATCAACACTCGGACGTTATCTCTGGCTCGGAGTTGGACTTTACTCTTCAACTCACTGTGGTCTGGGGAAAGCAGGGGAAGAAATATAAGGACTTTGGCAACATAGCAGACCATCAGTTGCTGATGTTTGGCTTAACAGAGACACCAGTAACCTTGTGGCTTCTTAGCAACGCAGCATTCTAGTGTTGGATTACAAAATACTTCATCACTGAATGATTAAAACCATTGAACGAATGCCCTGGGGACAAAACACAGTCAAAACTGCCTTGATGCAGTTCTACATAATCATTTCATTTCTTCTGAAGTCTTTTATGGAAGCCATAACTTCTGCACATGAATATATTTGGTCCCTAAACTCATCCTCCATAAGGAGTGTAGACTTGTTTAGTTTGCGTGGAGCAGCCTGCTGTGACTGTCAGTCTATGAAGGTTCCCGGCTCTAAGGACAGGGTGTTGGGTCATGGTCCCGAGGGGAGAGCTCACTGCAGAGGCCTGCACGTGCTTCAGATCAGACAGGACCCAGAGAGTTCTCAAGGACTCCTTCCTTCATCTCTCAAGAAGTACAGAAAAGGCTTCCGTGGACAACACTCACCAATGTGGACATTGGCTGAAAACTGGTAGATGCCAGACACAGGTGCTGTGAAACGTCCTGTTGCCAGATTCAATCCCGTCCCCCGGAGAAAAGCTCCCTTGGCAAGAGGCTGTAAGATAAGAAGAGCAGACCCTGAACAAGTCCCCGACACTCTCAACAATTACTTCTGGCCACGACAGAGAACAAGCTTACGTGCGTGAGAACAAAGCTGTGTTGGGTTTGCGTGGCGAAGTTTTGGTAGGAACAAGTCCCCGACACTCTCAACAATTACTTCTGGCCACGACAGAGAACAAGCTTACGTGCGTGAGAACAAAGCTGTGTTGGGTTTGCGTGGCGAAGTTTTGGTAG